CTTGCCGTTGAGGAAGAAGATGAATTACGTGATATGCTAGTGAACGGTCATAGACGGCCCCGTCAGCGCCGCAGAAGAGTGTTTCGACCACGAATTAACCTGGAGTGGCCGATGGAAGGACAATTTCGGTAAGTCAGAGTGAATGTTTTCAGTATGACAAATGTGTGCTTTAAACCGATAGTTGCTCAGGTATTTCGCCACCCACCACCCATGTAGGTAGGTTTCAAGGTTAGGTCAAACAAATTAGCGACAGTCACATACCCTCAAAATCAAAGTTTATATTTGTAGCACATGTTGTACGTGTACTTTTAGGGGTGAAACTTGGCGGTGACATCCATTTATGATATGAGTACGTATTTAGTCAAAAAGCTGAACATAACCCTCGCCGGCCGAAGGGATGGATGTCCCTTCCGCGTTTTCACTTTTCAAAACATAGGATAATTTTGGTGGAAAACTTACACTTCATGATGTAGCTATGACATCAGTGTAAAAAAACAACCGACTTTTCAAATGCTTCCAAAATCAACTTTCAATTTGCTACAGGCACCCAGAATATGGCGCGTAACTAACTAATTGGCGCGGAATTGCATCGCAACTATAGGGAACGAAATATTGCCATCATCTACGTCATGTTCCTTGCAGGCTACCATAACCATTTAACTTTAAAGCCGGACATTGCAATATTCCTTGCCATTGGAAAATTATTTCAGCTAGACTTTAGTTATGCGCATATCGCTTTATTTTTTCCCAATTTATTAGGTGATCATGCAATTGATAACGGTAAGTGTTCACAACGCATCGGGCATGGCATTTCGCAAACGCTGTACTAACTGTACCCTGTACCCTTTTAAATAAGTGCTGACATATGCAGGCATGCGGAAAAAGTGGCAGTTTTTAGGTCACCACCAACCAAGGATCCCCATTTTAAATCTGTTAATACACGACAATCGGGTATGCATCGGTTATTAGCAGCATAAGCAAGCTTATTCATTTTTTTCAGCGAACGGTTCAGGGTCGACTCGGGCACGGCAACCGATATCGAAGCCAGGGTTGGCCCTGCCCTTCAGCATCCATCCGGCCGGAACATGGCTCTAACGCCGCGCCAGCAGCTTCTTATCGCACTTCGGTACGTACTTAAACAGTGTGCGTGCAAGATCACATGAAATTAAAATAGATGCAAATGCATACCCGAAAGAAGGTACATCCATGCATGCATACGTTCATGCATACATAATTCATGTCTACATGCATTGACATGAGAACATTCATAAGCCACCCAAATATATTATGCGCCATCATAGTCATACCATAGTCATTCCAAAAGATGAATTTTTACCAAAAGTTGCTTAGACGGAAAAGCATAACAATGTTTCTAACACTGGTATCATCTTCCAGGTTCTTCGCAACCGGTGCATTCTACATAATTGTTGGTGATGGCCACGGTCCGTCGACGGCTACAGTAGGCCGCGTCATCAAACGTGTCGTGCTGTCCATCCTTGCGGCTTTCGCCGGAGTCGTTAGATGGCCGTCAGCTGCTGAGGAGCTGCAAAACATCCAACAGCGGTTTTCTCGGATCGGCGGGATTCCCAATGTCGTTGGTAAATAGCTCCCTTGCTGTTTCTCTATTGATGGGAAAAGTATACGCACTATGTTTCTTGCCATACCGTGTCTTGTTAACCCGATGGGCTATTCAGCGTGCTAGGGGAGGGGACAGATTCTCCCCCCCCCCCGCGTAACTTCCGAGCCGATGATCGTAGATAGAACGGGGAGAAGCCAATCGAAAGGTTTTAACAAGACGAACCCTTTGAGCTTAATGTTTTTTGCCTAAGCAGGTCAATAAGTATACTAAACGATAGTAAGTATCGCCTAAATGGTAGACTGTGCCGGCGCACGACGGTTTCGGTTTTGCATTGCGTTGCTTACCACTGATTATGATTGATTAGCGTCAAATTTTGTGTAAAGACTTAGAAATGCACAATCTTAATATTAAAAAATACGAACATCGGCCGGTAACATTTTGAGTTATGATGGTGTAAACTCAAAGTTGTGACTGAAATGCTTCCTGCGTGGGGGGATACCCGCCTCAGCCGGCGACATCTTACTTTTAGAAGGCTTCTAACGGCCATATTTATGGTTGGATTAAAGGGACTATCCCACCTTTAACATGGGGTTTGAGTTGAGATAGCCAAGTTTGCGGCGAGGTTCAGAAACCACTATCTATCTAGGTTGCAACCCCCGCGGACTCTTGGTGTTGAAGAAATTCGTTCCCTTCATTTGAAAATGGGCCTTGTACAAGGCGCTATCTTCAACATGGAGCGACCGTTAGTGTGACGTCACCTCGTTTAGTCATTCTGATTTAAATGGGTTTGTTCGTTGAAAAATCGCTTAAAACTTGGTGTGAACTTTGTTGTGGTGCCTACAGAGTAAAAAGAATCAGCTTTATGACAGTAATGTGGCCTGGGGAAGGAGGTAATTTTGGGCTGTGATGTCACATATTTGAAAGTTTGTGTTTGGAATATGGGAAGCCTAAGATGTTTAATGAAAAATAAATGCCAGAACCGTGTTCCTGGTCATCCAATCTATAAAGTCGGGCACAATTTAACTGGTTTTAACAACATTTTAGAAGGTGGGATAGTCCCTTTAACTAGAAATTATATATTTATACGCGAAGACATATTTCGTGTCGTGAAGTGTTAGAAGTGAGAAAATCGACCGGTAACTTTTTGAGTTAGGGGCATGTAAACACAAAACAGTCCTTTATATGGCAAATTTGATCACGCTTGACCTCATTTGACCTTGAATGTGTTATTTGAACTAGTGTCATGACATTTACACACAAGAGTTTCCTATCGCCGCCACCCACGCTCCGAATTTTGTCTTTCTTACTTTTATAGGAGCTGAGATCTTAGGTGGGGGGGGGAGGCGACATTCACTCCCCCTTTCCACTGGGCGTAGTTCTCAGAACCTTTGTGCTGCGCGTGTTAAAAATCACTGGTAGCTTATTTGGATTTCGTTTGCATGTTTCTTTCAGGTTGCGTGGATGGCACTCATCTCAGGCTCCAAGTGCCAAAGAACAAAAAAGACCTCTACATGAACAGGAAGGGATATACTTCGGTCAACTGCATGGCCGTTGCAGGACCGGACCGGCAATTTTTCGCTGCCAGCGTGCAGTGTTCCGGCCGCGTGCACGACGCCAGAGTGTTGACAACATCAGGCCTAGACGAATAGTAAGCTACCACAATGTTGCAGGAATGTCACTGCTTCTCCTCCCACGCCCATCTGTCTCATATACCTATTTGTTATTCCTATGCAAAACAGGACTAGTTCAGAAATGATTGCTCGACCAACTTATGGGGGAGGGGGGATGAAATGATCTTCTTTCGGATTTTTGCAAATGATTCGCTAAAAAGCAAAGGATCACGACGAAACCTCGAACTAGTGCCCTCGAGTTAACTAATTTTACATCTACCCTATGAATTTCATGACCCTGACCCCATTGCCCTTTGTCCTGTGACCTGTTTATCCTGACCGTTTCAGGTCAGTTTCAGTTCAGATTCGGCATATGTCGGCGCGCATTATCCATGCGTTTCCAAACTTTTTTTTGCGATGATTTTGACAACTTGTGGAAAAGTCTAAGGCAAGTTTCGAATTAAGCATTCTCTTGAGCATATGTCGCGTTAGGCAAGGCCCACAAATCGACTAGATAAATCCTTGCTTCCAAGCATCCTTCCTTGCATTCCAGCTTCCGCGCGGGTGGCCCGGTACAGCACGGGATGCTTCTCGGAGATAGCGCATATCCTTTAACCCACTGGCTCATGACGCCAGTAGCCGATCCAGCGACACCAGCTGAAATGGCGTAAGTGAGGCATCACTTGGGGTACTAGTGACATACCCTTCTTACGTATGCTTACAATATACTCTCAAAATATTATTTTCCTGTCAAGTGTCAGTGTCACCTCTCACCGTCTCTTTCGACGTTCTAAAACAGCATTTTCATTGGATGGCTAACACTACTCAGAAGTAATCAATTAACATCTGCCTATACCAACAGGTACAACCGTGCGCACGCGGCTACGAGAGTGCTGGTGGAGAATGCGTTTGGGGTTTTGAAGCGACGCTTCCCAGGGCTGGACACGGGCCTCCGCATGCGGCGAATCGCAGACAGCGTCCGTGCATTCCGGTAAACAATGAACTAATATACGTACATCATTATCCTTTACAGTTCCAGGGTAACAACAATCATGAGGGACGAGGGACATTCGTCTCTACCAATACCTCCGCGAATAGAGCAGCTACGTAAGGAAAAGCGATACCTATCAAACAAAAATTACGTAGATTTTATTCTAATAAACCTCACTTTCCCCCTAGCTCTATTTGCTTTATTTGTCCCACTCCCACTGAATGGTGTGTGCTGATTTACAGAGCAATGATCGTGCTCCATAACATCTGCATCGCTCATGGTGACCTGGGTAACTGGCTGGATGATGAACTGCAGGAGGAGCCGCACCTTCAAGGCGCGGAAGTTGAAGCGGAAATCCCCGCCGAGGCCGTCCAGAGACGAGAAGGACGCATGCGTAGGAGCGCTCTCATCCGTTTGTTCCAGTAAATGCCTTCCAGCACTTCAGGTTGTGCTGTGTTGATTGCAAGGATGCTGAAACTGTTTGTTTGATTAGTGTATATATTAAGCTCAAGGACATCACCATACAAGTGACGTTAGTTTGGTAATTGCCAACGTTCGAGAAAACTCTTAACGCCAGAGTATTCCGACAACCTGAAAGGAAATGCAAGACGTAGATGCGCAGGAGCGCAGTAACCATCCGTCCATTTCAGTGACAGTCTTACTGTGTGCTTCAATTTGTGCTGTGCTCATTGTACAGAATGATGTTGAAACTGTTTGTTCGATTAGTTTATATGTTGGGCCGCCCAAGACCATCACTATGCAAGTGATATTGTTAGTTTGTTCATTGCCAAAGTTTGGGAAAACTGTCAACACCAGTGTATTCTGTCAACCAGAATTAAAATACAACCGTAGATGGCATTTTCCACCTGACTTTCACAGCTTCAAATGTAACCTCATTGCGGAGGCCTATGCCAACATCCTACCACATCGCCACAGCTGCCTTAACCTCTTCGACCGATACACTGTCGGCCCTAGCCGCCAAGCCTTTTAACATCTTAAGTACTAGAATTTGTCGCACCTTGTCGCGTTCTTGATCCGTTAACTCTTCCTCCGGCATAGCGAGAAGGGCCCTGTTAGCGTCACCCAGCTCTCTGCGGCTCGGTCGGGAGACACCCATACACATCAACGGGTCTTCTCTTGACCGCTGGCCGACACTGGACCTCATTTTCAGCCGGGGAGGTGCTGGACTGGCGGTGGACGCTGGTGACACTGCATACAGTGACTTACGAGCATCTTCCTCGCTCTCAGGCATCTCAATTGGCGGCAGACTGGGTGACTGGGTCGCCCAGTCGTTGATACCACGACCACCGGGAACAGCCACCGCTTCGGCTTCGGCGTCCCTGCCTGAAATGAAAAGGGTGCTAAAAACTAGTATGACGGAGCGCTCCATTGACACGCATAAGTATCACGACAGACAGACAGACTAGACAGATCGAGACCGAGACCGAGACCGAGACCGAGACCGAGACCGGGACCGAGAGTGAGAATGAGAGTGAGAGTGAGAGTGTGAGAGAGAGAGAGGGAGAGAGAGCGAGAGAGGGAGGGAGGGAGGGGGAGAGAGAGAGAGAGAGAGAGAGAGAGAGAGAGAGAGAGAGAGAGAGAGAGAGAGAGAGAGAGAGAGAGAGAGAGAGAGAGAGAGAGAGAGAGAGAGAGAGAGAGAGAGAGAGAGAGAGAGAGAGAGAGAGAGAGAGAGAGAGAGAGAGAGAGAGAGAGAGAGAGAGAGAGAGAGAGAGAGAGAGAGAGAACTCACCAATGACATCCAGCACGATCTCGTCCAGCTCTGTCAGTGATGTACTCGAATCACATCCTTGTCCCGTCCGGTTCCGTTTCCTGAGTTTTTCTGCCGATAGAGGAATTTGCAGCTTGAGCTAGCTACCATTTTCATTTTCAACTTCAGTTTGCACACTTTTGCATGAGGAAATAATATACGACTATACCGAGGTTCAGGTATCACGCTCAAGGGTATCAACATGTTAATGAACTTAATATAGTATTTCCTCAACAGTGCAGTTTTGAAGTTCATAGCGACAGAAATCAATTTAGAATGGGGGCTAAGCCACCAGCTAAGCTACGACGTTGGGCTGATTTCCACCCTTCTTTACAAAGAAAATGAACCTAGTAGCCTGCGCAGCGAGATACTGCACCGCAAGACAGGGATGCTGTGCCGCCAGACACGTCATGGGCGTGAGTGTCAGAATGCGCAGCCGATACCGTAGTACCAGTTGGTTAGTTACTCACCCCGGGTTCGCTGCACCGTGTTATTGAAACAGTTTTTCTTGAACTGAGCGATGCACACATCGGGCTTGCAAAGTCCAAGATCGACACCCTTTTTCTTTACTTCCTGCCAGGCTTGTTGCCGGGTGTGCTGGCCGTTCACAGTTTTGAACTCTCCAAATAACTTCTGTAAATGGATCAAGTGATGGTTGGAATTATTGCAATATTTAGTGGGACCCATCCCATAATGCACGCTTCACAGCCTACTCAATAAAAATGAAATCTTTCAGACCGTAGCTACAAAATGGGTAGGCAGTAGGCACCTCATTTTAGTAAGCCTCATTTCAAATGTCCTAGAAAATGAAACAAAAAGGGAGCTTTGTCACCTTTGACATAACGAGCATACTATAGCAATGCGCAGCTGCTGAAATGAATTCGGTAACCATTCGATATGTTACATACAAAACAAAAGTGGCTTACGTATTTACTATTTAATATGCAGTTAATCTTTCGTTGAAATTGAAAATAAAAATGGACAAAAATGAGAGAACAACAAATGGATAGCATATCATGACTTGAAGCATAACTGGGTGCGGATATTTAGAATCATAGTGCGTTGTAATGCACCAATGCTAAGCCAAACAATGCATGAATTGGCGAAGTTGAATTCAACATTGAGGTGAAAATGATAACAGGAAATGATAGGTACTTACATCTTTCAATTCTCTTATCAGGATAAACAGCTCTTTTTTCTTCGATGCTGACTCTACGTGCTTCATTCTTGCTAAGTTGATCAACACGTACCGTTTAAAACCGTTAATCAATTAAAATCAAACATGACCAATAGCCCAGATTGGCCCAGATAATGTTGTTTGCTTTCAACAGCTGATAACTCGAGTCTCGACATATTTTGTTTTTGGAGAAATTAGTAAACTTCATTACAAATGTTCTTGCAATAGTCTGCAAACGTATTCTATATAATTGTATACCTAAAATTATTGATATGATCTTCTTATTTTAAGATTTATTTTAAAAAAATCATTAAATTACAATTAATTAAGGTCTTGAAGTATGATATCACACCTCACTGTCTCACTTTTTCCAGCCAAAAAATGAGCCGGGAGATGCCTAAAATTGAAGCACGCTCTTAGTTTTATAATAATGAGAAAAGCAGCCGGCTGCTTTATTCGGCTCGATTTTTATTTGCAGCCGTTGTCTCGATTTTATTTTATAATAATGGCCTCAGGTATCGTTACTTGAAACCGTCTGAAAACAGAAGCCGCATGAGCTCAGAAACTGAATAGCAGCTCCAATCACAGGTGGTAATTCCTGCCACCCAACAGCCTTCACAAAAATGTTCTCAAACCACGGCGCTGAAACCCTATTATGATTCAATTTCGAACATCCGGGAGGGTTGCTAACTCGCAAGTTCAGCTGTATCCTCCATCTCACACAGCCCCGCGGCGTTCAATGCTCAAACCGGGTTCAACGGGGAGTCTCATCACCGTGGACGGAGAGAGCACCTGGTCATCGGTCGCACCAGGGCACACAGGCCGGTGGTCTAAATCGGTCGGCAGCCGCCGTCCGGGACCGGACGGTCCCCATCACCGACCAACTTGGAGGATTACGGGCGGGGACAGCCCCCCAGCCCCCCAGCGGGGAGAGGACGTCCCCGGCGGGGAGGGCACATCCCGCCCACAGTGCAGAGATGGGCTGGATGAGCCGGACGGAGCCGCCCACCGCGCCGGCTTTGATCTCGCCGTTCGGGATGTTCGCGATATCCGGGCCGGGGGACGATCTATCCGCCGGGGAGCGAGCCGGTGAAAGTTTGCTGGCAGCGCCTGTGATCTTGATGGTGTCGATAGTTGAGCGAGCGGCCACCCCCGCGCGGTCGGTGACAGGTAAAGGTTAACATGAGCAGAGCGGTGAGTTGGGACGGGCTGACATGTCCTTGGGATATGACTGAAGGCCAGTCGAGTGATGCAGCCTCTGATCGGTTCGTCAATGTCACATCACAGCGCAGATATGTAGTTCAGAGGTGATTGCAATCCAGGCCGGGCTGGGGGCTTCTGCGGCGCATAATATAGCGTAGAGCGGCACAGGGGGCTGCAGTGCACAGGAGGAGGTGAGAAGGGGGAGGGGACACAGCACGTCCCAGCAGCTCGCCACGTACGTGGCAATGCAGCCTATAATCGGAACCGTTCGTCACAACAGCGGCATTGGTATGATGCCAAGGTGTGGCCACCCATGTCCCGAGTTCACGTTCACAGACCTGAGGCCATTATTATAAAATAAAATCGAGACACTGGCTGCAAATAAAAATCGAGCGGAATTAAGCAGCCGGCTGGTTTTCTCATTATTATAAAACTCACGCGTGCTTCATTTTTACGCATCTTCCGGCTCATTATTTGGCTGCGAAAAATGAGCCAAAAATGTATGATGTCATACTTCAAGTGCTTTTTATATTCCATATTATGTGATCATGTGCATTATAAGTCTGATTTTTAAAATCTTTTGCATACATTTATGCTTAATCTTTTGATAAAACATATTTGAAGACGTTTTCCGTGTCTTTTGTAACAAAACTCACGTCACATTTAAAGGTAAATTGATGACAAAAGTTCGTGGGTTATCACAGCAACTGTATTATGCCTGGTTCAAAACGTTGAACATTGTTCATGCTTGGGATTGAGTAATTTAGAGATGTATTTATGAATGAATCGTGCGAACAAGCTAATCGCTCAATTTATTAAAAAATAGCAAAGCTTTAGTTCTAAAAGAAGACATGCTTCGGTTAGGAAAATTGCATTTCAACCATCAGTTTCTGGGATTAAGCAAAAGGACAGCCAGATTTCATTGGGATATATATATTTCGAACAAAAAGTAGTAGCACGAGAAACCTTTCGGCAACATGCATTACAATCGCTGACATTTTGTGTATTTGAAAGAGATCCGTATAACATGTCGGGTTTTCGACCATATTCACGTCTAGTATTGAGCGAAAACCAATAAAGACGATAACCACAGGCGGATCCAGAAAGTCTCGGACGCGGCGGAGGGCATACGCCCAACTAATCGGATTTGGATTCCTTACGCACAGCTGTGTAGCTAAAGCAAATAGTTTTTTTTTCATACATTTTTTCGATTTCTTTCAACTAAAAAAAAATCGCCGATTTCAGGCGCTGTATACGGGCAATTGCCCCAAATGCCGGAAATTTGTCCCAAATGCCCTTTCTGTTTACATTTGCACACCCACTCCATGTTCCATTGTATAACTGTTGCGCGTCGCACCACCATATCACATCTTCTAAATGAGCTGGATATGTGGTCATGCCGGCGTTTGCCAGTGACCAGTCGGATACATAATCTCGCTTTTTGACACGAGTTCATGTGTTCAGTTTCCATTTCTACAGGTCTAGCGCAGATATGCCTGGCGCTGTTTACCAAGCGGCGCGAGATGTTTCCGGCCGCAACCGGCGGGCGGCGCACCGCGTCATCATCACCTTTTCTGGCCGCGTCCTTGACTTGTTGACATTAATTTTCCGACTTAAATTTATCTCAGATATAATCTAGGGTGTGAGATCTTGGGAGCTCTGCATTGTCCTCAATTAGTCCTCGGAGTCCGCCAGAATTCGACAGGCACCGCCTTCTGAAACTTCAGGACCTTCGAAGACTTGCCTACTATTTTTTGTAACTTCTATAAACGTTCCACTAAATGCATAGGATTCCTCAGCTCGGACTGCATCTGAAACACACAGAGTTTTTTACATTCATCGCATCTTAATTTGGTCATTTGGACATGACCCTGACCCGAGCTTCACTATACGCTTAACCTGCTGGAAAACGTTACTGTACCTGCAGGTAGGATCGTAAAGAAAACGGAATCCCTCCTATACATTTGTGAAAGAAAACCAATCCCAAATAGATACCCTTCTTCCTGGTTCGTTCTTTAGACCATGTCAACTGATGTTAGTTATAAATATCAATTAGGTACATTGACAAGGCGAACAAAATCAGAAATAATATATATTTTAAATAAGCTACAGCGTGCTGAGGCAGTTGATATACTCACATTATGATCCCAATTCTAAGCACGCCAATGCTGCGCCCATGACAGAACGTTTGGACGCTTGTTCATTATGACGGGGATGAATGCCGCTTACTTCTCTTCCTGCTACACAAGCTGTTTTGTGTCCCAGGGCTCACAAATAGCTTTAAAGTTATCGCTAGAAGCATTAAAAATGCATGGAATGCACATATTATGAAATATTTGATAAGTTACGAGTGATATTATCGTCATAAGACTAGCTTTGCAAAATTTTACGACGCTGGTACCCGACAGCAAATATTTGCTGAAAATTTGCAGTTTTGTACAATTGTGGCGCTGTTTATGCGCCTTCAATTGTAAAAAAGTCATTTTTATAATGACTTTTTTAATGAGAGGAAGGAGAAGCTGCACTGTCTATGGAGAATCCGTCAAAAGCGTCTGGAAGGACCATGAGCAAATGTAGAAAGACATGCAGCCTTCATCCTCATCCTTTTCCCAGTACCCCTATAACCAAATAGGGCACCTATGGGGGAGCCGATGCAAAGGCTATTCCCCCGAAGACTCATCTGCATCATCATCATAATCAGTAGCTCGGAATTTTGCGTCCACCGCCACGTGACTTTGTCTTCTTTTTACCGCTCGATTTTTTTTCAGGCTGCATTTTTATGATAATCAACGGCTCAGAATCGGGAATAAAATTCGCAGCCGGCTCGGAATTTATTTTATAATAATGGCCTCTGGAACGAGAACAGAGCCCCTCGTCCCATACGAACGTGACACGACTTCCTGCAGGCATACGTGTGGCCCCACTCAGTGCTAGACTGTATCATACCGCTCACCGCTGCACCGAATGTCACAGAGCTCTCCGCGCACATCTACATAGTATGCTCGCCGTGCACGGCACAAACAAGCCTCCGCGGCCGGTGTCATCAACCCCTGGCGTCCGGCGGCCAGTGGCCTAGCTGCAGAGCCCAGTCGGGTCGGGCTGTCTCCCGGAATACCTCGGTCAGCACTCAGCCATCTGATATTCCACCGCTGCAGCGGCGACACGGTCACCGGTGCGCATTACCATAGCCGGCAGTGGTCGCGCGCAGTGACCGCTCGGTGACCGCCGCTGACCCCGCCGGCGCACTAATCCCCCCGTGACCCTCCGCGCGCAGTCCGCAGGGGTCACAGGACTCAGGCACGCGCACCCGGCGCACCTGAGACCACCGTCTCCGCCGCGCGCGGCGTCGCTGCAGGGAGCCGGTGGAATATGGCTATTCATCAGTCTCCAGCCGTACCGCCCGTCAGTTGACCGAGGCTGGAGCGCGACCGCATGGCACCGGCTGCCGCCGCATGTCCCACATCAGTGCACAGGTCCACTGTGCACGGACGGACACGCTCAACGTATGCAGTGACCCCCGGTAATGACTCTCCGCGCTGGACGGGCGACGCAGAGCCAGTTCCGGCCCCGTGGCCACAAGCTGCACACTGCACAGTGCACATTGGAACGGTGTACATAGTGCGAGCGGCTGATGGAAAATGGGACACGCGCATCTAACACTCTCTGAGGCGGAGAACCAGGACTTCAGCAGGGATCTCAGGTCTTTACAGGCCAGTTAAGCCCCGACTTTTGAGGATCATTCTAAAACTCCTAACAGCTTCTCAGTCTCAAAGGAGCGCAGATTAGCAAGCTTCCCTCTCCTTCGAAAACGAGGCACACCAAACGCTCACAACGAGGCACGCTCCTAGCGTTACCTTAGCGTAACTCGAGCCCCAGCATCAGCTCCAAGCTGCTGTGGTCAATTCAAGGAAAGGGGAGAACGCTGCCGCCAGGCTCGGACAGT